GTTCAGGACCCGGATGTCACACTGGCTTCTTGACCATTCGTGTGTTTTTCTGTCTCTGCCAATGTTATGTTCTTTTTTTCTCTCCCTCCCAACTGGGTTTGTTTAGGCAGGGCGGGTCCTGCTTGGACCTCTGAGCCATGGAAGGTGACTCATGACCCCGTGAAACTCGCCCGCCCGGGTGACATTTTCAGTGGCCCGACCACAGTCTGGCTTCAGTTCTGACAGGTGTCACCCAACCTAACAAAGTGTCGGGAGCTCCTGGCCCTCAGACTGAAGGCCCATCTCAGGGGTTAGGCAGCTAGTGAATCCTGAACCTCTCTTCCATGTGGTCTGCACAGCTCTGTACAGTCGTTTGCTCTTTCCAGGAACCCCAGATGGCCTCCAGGACTGTGAGAAACAGCCCCGTTTAACCAGGCCACCGTGTCTACAGGCTTAGGAAGAACCAGGTTGAGATCTGCTTTTGAGACCCATAGCACGGTGGCAGAATTTCTAAGGGGCAGCTAAGGGAAGACTGTAAAAACCTAACAGGAATTCGTTCCCTGCTTGTTTCCAGATTACTACCAGAGAGAAGTAAGCGAGACATGGGGACAAACATCGTTTAAAACTTTTGAGTGGAGTTCTGGAATAGACAGGACCAGAAACAACAATTTATCAAATGCTAGAGTCAGGTGGCGGGTTGTTGAGTGTGCACGGAGTTTCAGGAGGTAATAAGAATATTCTAGAAAGGATTGTGCACAACAGTGTGAATGATATAGTGTCAACAGTACACAAAGTAGTTACAGTGGTAAGTTTTGTGCTGTTTATACTATATACACACCGCAAAAGGTACTCTGGAGACCTCCACAATGCCGTTCAGAAACTTGGTTTGGAACATTCAGTTGAATCCCTTGTGTCGATGCAGCAGGTTCAGCTAAAGGCTTAGAAAAGGAGTCCCGGCCCTGGGTTGCTTTAAATCTGGTGGCAGCAGTTTCCCACCTACGTCCCCTCCTTTCCCCTTTGGAATCAGTGCAAAAATTTTCGCTAGAAGCAACTTGAGAAACACATTCCTTTGACATGCAGAGAACTTGTGAGGCTGGAAAAATAATTCCTTTATTAGAGAAGAAAATGGTCTGTTATTTCTTCATAAGCTATGCTTTTGGTTTTTTGCTTTGTTTTGTTTTTGTTTTGTAAATCTTGCCCACCTTTAAGTTCATTTTTCAAGTTTTTGTTTTTGGGGCTTTTGTTGTTGTTTTGGTTTTTTGTTGGTTTTTGTTTTGTTGGTTTTTTGAGACAGGGTTTCCTGGCTGTCCTGGAACTCAGAGATCTACCTGCCTCTGTCTCCCAAGTGCTGTGATCAAGCCACCGCCTGGCTTGACTTAAGAGTTTGGATTTTTTTTAATTGTTTATTTTTGTTTTGTGTGCATTGGTGTTTCACCTGCATGTGTGTCTGTGTGAAGGTGTCAGATCCCAGAGGAGAGAGATGGCCCAGCAGTTCAGAGCACTGACTGATGTTCCAGAGGAACCTGGTTCATCTGGAGTCTGATTATGCCAGGATAAAAAAATAAATAAGATGTCAGGTCCCGCCGGGCGGTGGTGGTGCACGCCTTTAATCCCAGCACTTGGGAGGCAGAGGCAGGCGGATCTTTGTGAGTTCGAGGCCAGCCTGGTCTAGAGAGCGAGATCCAGGAAAGGCGCAAAGCTGCACAGAGAAACCCTGTCTCGAAAAACCTAAAAAAAAAAAAAAAAAAAGATGTCAGGTCCCCTGGAACTGGAGTTACAGACAGTTGTGAGCTACCATGTGGGTGCTGGAAATTGAACCTGGGTCCCCTAGAAGAACAGCTAGTGCTCTTAACCACTGAGCCATCTCTCCAGCCCCAACTTAAGAGTTTTAAAGAATAAAATCAATACACACTCTTTTTTTTTTTTTGGTTTTTCGAGACAGGGTTTCTCTGTGTAGCTTTGCGCCTGTCCTGGAACTCACTCTGTAGACCAAGCTGGCCTCGAACTCACAGAGATCCACCTGCCTCTGCCTCCCGAGTGCTGGGATTAAAGACGTGCGCTACCATCGCCCGGCGCACACTCTTATACAAGGAAAAACATAAGCAAATATATATATCAGTTAAAGTACCCAGTTGTTACAACAATGGGTGGTAGTAGCACACACCTTTAATCCCAGCAGAGACAGGTGGATCTCTGTGAGTTTGAGGTCAGCCTGGTCTACAGAGTGAGTTCCACCACAGCCAGGGCTACACAGAGAAACCCTGTCTTGAAAAACCAAAACAACAACAACTTGTTAACAACATTCGGAGTCCCACTCATCTAAGTACTGTCTACCTTAGAATTGCATCCATGGTTCTTCCATATGGAATCATTCTTTGTGTCACCAGAAACATTAATCTTCTCAGGAGTGCCTTAGCCATTACCTCAGTAGCCACTGCTGTTAAAACTTCAATATATGAGCTAGGTGGTGGCCCATGCCTTTAATCCATCACTTGGGAGGCGCAGAGGCTTATGGATCTCTCTGAGTTTGAGGACAGCAAGGCCTATATAGAGTACATAAAGAAACTCTGTCTCAAAAAAAAAAAAAAGCAACATATATACTGTCTATTGTAGCCTGAAACTCCCAGTGAGATGACCTTGAACTCCTGATCCTCCTACTTCCACCGCCCAGGAGTTAGATTTCCTGTGTGGGCTGCCACACCCAGCTGAAGTTCCAAACTTTAAAGAAATGGGTGCTTCTGTTGGGCTGCTTATCTGACCCAATTAGCTCGCTAAAACCCTCCAAATGGGTCTCAAGATCTTGCAGACTTAGACAGCATGCTGCCTCAGTTTTCTTTCCTAGCAGAACTTCCTTCCAGAGTTGTGACACTCACAGTAAAATGAGGAAAGCAAGTGTCCGTAACTCACCGGCTGCTTTAAAGGCAATAGAGCCTGACCCAAGCCCAGGGACCACTCTGACCCGGTATTGGGGTTTTCTGGGAAAAGGGCAACACATGGATGTAGCTCCCAGAAAACCAGAAAAATCCCTCAGTGGAAAGGAGTGGAGGCCAGAGTTAGATGGAGAGAAAGCAGTAACAAGGGTAGAGGGGTCCCAGAGAGCAACCATTTCACTGGAGCCTTCTCTAGGGTTTCCACACCATTATAAAAGGTTTGAAGATCAAGGGGTACACTGAGGCAGATTATTCTTTGGGGTAAGAGATGTTCTAGAAGAGAGATTTAATACCATAGCTAAGTCATCAGCATGGCAGGGGCTGATGAGAGCTTGGGCCCATGTAGCAGAATGGGGGTTCCTTATGTGTTTTAGAGGAAAGGAGAAGGGAAGTAGATTGAGACAGTTCTCTCTGGCTCTGCAGCTGGTGATTGCTGCTGGTATCGGATGAGTAGTCAGTTAACTAAGACTGTTAGGTGACCAGTAAGCATCTCTCCTGCAGGCCATTCCTGGACAGGAAGGCAAGAATCGATAGAAACACATGGCTTTAGTTCAGGAGACAAAATTAAAGTTGTTAGAGGAGTTAGAGGAGTTGTCACAGTTCAGCCAAGGTGGAGGAGCTGTACAAAATGGTCTGACCCTGCCTAACATTGCCAAGTTTGACAACCTGGATTTGATCCCAGCACCCATGTGGTAGAAGGAGAAGCCTGACTCCAGCAAATTGTCTTCTGACCTCCGTGTGCTGTGTGCTTTTGCACGACACAGGAAAACAACTTAAAATGTAATAAAATTTTATTTTAAAATAGCATAGAAGCAGCCAAGCCAAGAGCTTCTAGAATGAAAGTTCATAATTAAACTGGTTTTGATGGAGTCTTGCTGTGTAGCTCAGGCTGACCCTTAACTCACTATGAAGCCTCCTGTTGGAGCCCTTCAATTCTGGGATTACAGGTGGGCACTACATCGACTGGACAGCAGCAGTCTTAATGAGCTTTTTGCCTGCTCCTCAGTGTTCATCAGGGAAACACATGTGTAAGACTGGCACAGGCATCCTAAAGTCTTTCTTTTTTATAATATTTATTTTTATTTGCATGTGTGTGCGCCAGTGCCATGTGTATCAGGTACCTGTAGAGGCCAGAAGAAAGAACTGGGTCCCTTGAAGCTGGAGTCATAGGCAGTTGTGAGTCACCTGACATGAGTGCCTCTGCAAGAGCAGCAGGAACTCTTAACCACTGAACAGTCTTAAACCCAGCATCTTAAATTTTCAATGTACCTTTTCCTTTTAGAAATCAGTGATTTAGCCGGGTGGTGGCGGTGCACGCCCTTAATCCCAGCACTCGGGAGGCAGAGGCAGGCAGATCTTTGTGAGTTCGAGGCCAGCCTGGTCTACAGAGACAGATCAGGAAAGGCACAAAGGTACACAGAGAAACCCTGTCTCGAAAAACCAAAAAAAAAAAGAAAAAGAAAAAGAAAAAAGAAATCAGTGATTTAATTTAAAGCAAAATTGAGAAATGCATTCTGTTTTTCTATTCATTCAGACTGCTCTTTGATGGCCATGGCATAAGGAACATCACCAGGAATACAGCTTTGCACTGAGTAAGCTACAAATGTACTAATAATGTAATTTTTAAGACTTTATTGTAATAATTTCCTATCAACAAAAACAATGTAGTTTGTCAAGTTTTGTTTTTTTTTTTTTTTTTTTTTCGGTTTTTCGAGACAGGGTTTCTCTGTGTAGCTTTGTGCCTTTCCTGGAACTCACTTGGTAGCCCAGGCTGGCCTCGAACTCACAGAGATCCGCCTGGCTCTGCCTCCCGAGTGCTGGGATTAAAGGCGTGCGCCACCACCGCCCGGCTTAAGTTTTGTTTTTTAATTTAAAAATTTATTTAGGGGCTGGAGAGGTGGCTCAGAGGTTAAGAGCACTGCTTGCTCTTCCAAAGGTCCTGAGTTCAATTCCCAGCAACCACATGGTGGCTTACGACCATCTGTAATGAGATCTGGTGCCCTCTTCTGGCCTGCAGAGATACGTGCAGACAGAGCACTGTATACATAATAAATAAATAAATCTTTAAAAAAAAATTATTTATATATGTGGGTGGATGTTTTGTTTTCATGTGTGTCTAGTGCTCACAGAGGTCAGAAGAGGGCATCAAATTCCCTGTGGACTGGAGATGGCTTTGAATTGCCATACAGGTGCTGGGAATCAAACCTGGGTCCTCTGAAGAGCGGCCAGTGCTCTCTCTAACATCTTGTCACGGTTATTAATGGGCTAGATCAGATTCCTCTGAAGAAGAAATACTGCACATTTTAGGGCTAGTCACCATGGTACTTTCTGTTAATAAGGCCCTCAATTTTAGAGAGAAATTTCTGCCAAATGATCACTTTTTACTTAGAAATGTATTAGAGTTGGAGTTACACTTCTGATGCCCACCACCTGCTGAACTGTGTGGCCAGAGGAGGTCTTGTCATGTGAGCCAGTGAGCCTGTGAGCCTGTGAGCTTCCCTTTACTCTCAGAACTGAGTAAGCTGTGAAGGACTCTGCAGGGCTCATGATTTATAGACTGTGTTTTGTGGATGCAAAGCATTTGACTAAGAGAATTTGGTAGGCAAGGGGTGTTGGTATTTTTCTACATTTGTGCCAGACTTTAAATTTCCTAAAGCAACATTTACTGTGCTTAAATGTGCCTTCTACAGTGAGCATGCAAATTAACATATGCTCTGATTAAGACATCCCTGGAGGGCTTCAGTATAGGCGATGGTAGGTCTGCCTCCCTGTCTCCTCGCTGTCTCTGTGCTTTTAGGGTGTTTAGTCCCTGTTAAAATGGTGTCTAAGATTTGATATACAATTTTCTCAGCTGAAGAATAAACCGTGGCTACTGCTCAGCTTATCAGCATGGGAGGGAAGTTAGAGGCAGTCTATTTCAGGGAGTCTTCAATGGAAGGCCCTTTGCCTTCTGCTTTATTTTGATTTTATTTTTAATTTTTATTACTTTTTTATTTACTTTGTATGTGTGTGGGGGCCTATACCTGCAACATGTGGAGGTCAGAGAACAACTTGGGAAAGCCAGTTCTCTCCGTCCACCATGTGGATACTAGGAATTGAACTCAGGTCTTAGGCTTGGCAGCAGGCCCCATTACCCACTGAGCCCTATCACCAGCCCTTTTCTTCTGCTTTAAAAAACCATTAAACAGGTGAGTGATGGTGGCACATGCCTTTAAAATCAGCAACCCAGAGGCAGGAGGATCTCTTGAGTTCCAGGCCAGCCTGGTCTACAGAATGAGTTCCAGGACAGCTAAGGCTATACAGAGAAACCCTGTCTCAAAAAAACAAAACAAAAAGCTATACATGTAGCTTCCATGAATGATGAAGGGAATGAGCTGGGATTGGTGTAATTATTTTAGAAAAACCATTGCTATTGGAGTTTTACAATTATGTGCAAGATGACATATAAAATTGCTGGTTTAAGTCTTAAGTTGGCAAATGCTCTGGAGTTTATTAATGAATTGCTCATAATCTAAATTATGGATTACTTAGAGCTAGTGTGGTAGTGCACGCCTTTAATCCCAGCACTTGGGAGGCAGAGCCAGGCGGATCTGTGTTGAGTTCGAGGCCAGCCTGGTCTACAGAGCACGATCCAGGACAGGCACCAAAACAACACAGAGAAACCCTGTCTCGAAAAAAAACAAACAAACAAAGAAAGAGGCTGAAGCAGGAGGATTGCCCCAAGTTTGAAGCTAGTCTGAGCAATATAATGAAGCCTTGTTTCAAAACAAGGATTATTTAGGTTATTTGTGAAACTTGCTCGTGTTTACCTCCCTTCCTAACCTACTGCACCCCACCCCTCAGACGCTGATTGGCCTGAATATGTGCTTTGGGCTTAAATCTCACCACTCCCCAGTAGACAACCTTGGGCAACTAGGTTGTCCTCTGGGTCTTGTCACAATAACTACCAAGTGTTGTAAGCAGGACCAAATGAGGTAGAGAATGTGAAGTGCTGTGTGCAGAGTCTCTGTGTCTCTGGAGTCTGCATCCAAGGAGTCAACCCTTCACAGATGGGAAATATTTAGGAAGGGCTGGATAGATGGCTCAGTCATTAAGACAAATACTTCTCTTGCAGAGAAGAGTTCAGTCCCCAGCACCCACATTGGGTAGCTCCCAGCTGCCTGTTACTCCAGCTCCTGGGGTCAAGTATCAGTTTCTGGCCTCCAAGAGCACCTGTACTCACATGCACAAACTCACACACATAGACCCATGTAGCTAGAGTTTTCCTGCCTGGCCCACAGTCAGGACAAATCTCTCTCACCCGCCAGTCCCAAGCCGCTCAAACCCGATCAAGTAAACACAGACACTTATATTGGTTTCAAACTGTATGGCCGTGGCAGGCTTCTTGCTAACTGTTCTTACAGCTTAAATTAATCCATTTCTATTAATCTATACCTTGCCACGTGGCTCGTGGCTTACCGGCATCTTCACATGCGGCTTGTCATCATGGCAGCTGGCAGTGTCTCCCTGACTCAGCTTCCTGTTCTCTCTATTTTCCTCTCTGTTAGTCCCGCCTATACTTCCTGCCTGGCCACTGCCAATCAGTGATTTATTCATTGACCAATCAGCAACACATTTGACATACAGACCATCCCACAGCAGACCCACACATACATATAGTTAAAAATATAGTAAATCGCCAGTCAGTGGTGGTACATACCTTTAATCCCAAGCACTGGGAGGCAGAGGCAAGTGGATCTCTGAGTTCAAGGCCAACCAGGGCTACATAGAGAAACCCTGTCTCGAAAAACTAAAAATAAGTAAATAAATAAATAAATAGAGTAAATCTTTTAAAAAAGAATGCAACTGTATTGCTCGTGTGTTCTTGCCCTCTCCTAAGCAGTGCAGTCTGACACTTGTCCACACACCATGTCAGGGATTAGGAGTGGTCTTAAGATCTTAAAGTACTCTTGAAGACATGAGTAGGTGGCATTGTAAATATTCAAGCATTTTCTTCAGATGATTTGAGCATCTCAGAGTTTTGATGTTTGAGGGGTAGTCCTAGGACCAACCCCCACAGATACTATGAGACAGTTGTGTTTGTGTACATCCTTATATATGTATTTGTGTATACATTAATAAGCAGCTACTGTTCTGTTAATGATGACATTTTCCTAGTTACCCTGTGTTGCATTAACTTTTCCTAGGGAGATGCGAACAAATGTTTATTCATCCCAGATAGGGCACCAAGGACAGAGCAAAGTACGATACCACCAAAGTACAACTTGGAGTTCATTGAGCTTGCTTATAGAGTGTGGGTGAGGGGCTACTTACAGGACCATGGGTGAGCTCCATCCCAGCATGGATAATGACCTCAAGGAAGCAGCATTATGGAGTCCCCTTTCAGTTGACCTCTCACCTCGTTCACTTGTGGGGCATGAGGGAGTAATAGCTAGAATCCCCAGTGATGATTTTGGACCCTCTCTCATTCATGTGCTGGGGAATATCACTGTGTGGTTTTGCTTATTGGTTATTTCTTACTCCAAAATGGCATTATGTCCTGCCTGGAGGTAAAACACCACAAACCTTCACAGTTGGCATTGGCAGTTGGACATGATGGCATACACCTGTGATGCCAGCACTCCGGATGCCGAAGTAGGAGAATGGAGACTAGAGTCTTCCTAGGCTGCATAGCTAGACCCTGTCTCAAAAAAAAAACAAACTGACATTGGTACCTTGTTTTCCCTTGTATTATAATTTATATTATACAAATTGTAATCTGTAAAATAATTTAAGAAAAACCGTTCATGGGCTGGAGATGAAGCCCTAAAGATGCTTGCCTAGCATGTGTGAAGCATATAACCTTCACAACTGAATTGCAGAATTTCTGACCTCCATAAAAAAATTCCCAATTGCTTTTTCTTTGTTTTGTTTTATGTTTAAGGTTTTTTTAAGACAGAGTTTCTCTGTGTTGCTCTGTCCTGTCCTCTGTGTTGGCTGTCCTGGAATTTGCTTTTGTACTGGTTTGGCCTCAAATTCACAGATCCACCTGCCTCTGCTGGGATTAAGGATGTGTGCCACCACGCCCAACAAAATACCCAATTGTTAATCACTCCCTGTCTTTCTCTATCTCTAGTTTCTGGCAGTCACTAATCCACTTTCTAAATTTGTTTTGAATGTGTCTTTTGTAATGGAATGATGGAAATGTGGTCCTTTGTGTCCACTCTCCTCCTGCCCTCTCCCTCTTTCTCTTTGCATATTCTGCCTCTCCCATTAATCTCTTCCTCCTCCTTTCTCTTGCTCTTTATGATGCTGAGTATAACCCCAGCAATTCCCAGCCCTGCTTCCTTTCTATCATCCTGTCTCCAGGCCGGGCCCTCCCTGGTTGACACCTTGTTCTTTCTTACTGCCTTAGTAAGATCTCTTAGATGGATGTGCTATGTTTTATGTAGTCATTGATTGATACACGCTTTTATTGTTTAATAGTGCTGCTATGGACAGTCATGCATGAGCTTTGGTATGGACATCATGTGTTCTCTTCTGTTCAGCATATGTTCAAAAGTAGAATGGTTGGGCTACATCTGTTTAGCCATTTGAGAAGCTCCCAACCCCCTTTCTGCAGCTTTTAAACCATTTCCATGCCTGCCAGCAAGTGTGTATAATGGTTCTTGTCTCCATGGGACACTACTGAACAGTTGTTAATGCCTCTTACTTTTCATGCCATCTTAGTGAGTGAGGAAAGGGTTCCTTGTAGTTTTGATTGTTTTAGGGATGGGGAAAGGTGTGGTGCTAGGCCTGAAACCAGGTACCTTGCACATGGCAGACAGGCATTCTCCCGAGCTAGCTGCATTCCAGCCCACATGGTGCTGAGCATTGTTCATCGGGGTCTTGCTCTTTGGAGAAATGCCTTTTGGAATCTTTTGTCCATTCTTTTCTATTGGGTTGTTTACTACTGGCTGTAGGCTTTGTATGCACTCGTACAAGTTATTCATAGTACTATGCAAATAGTCTCCCATTCTGTGTGTGGTCTCTTTATTTTCTTGATGGTAGCACGTAAGGCTCACAGTACTGGAGCTTCCTGCCCCCCAATTCTGTAAATCCCATCATTGTCTCCCTCTGTTTTCTAGACGACACACTATTTTTATTACTCAAGTGTAGACTACATTTAATGAAGCCTTGCAGTTAGTCCCAAATTCAGACTTCCTCCTGCATTAGTCCGAGACCTCACAACGTCTTACTCTGACACACTTGGTGCTGCCTCGGTCCTCATGTTTGATGGTGAAACTCAGTGTTGTAGCTTCATTCTGTTGCTGTGATAAAACTGTCTAAATGCAACTTGGGAGGAAAGGGTTTATTCAGCTTACACTACCAGGTCACACTCCAATCAGGAAGGGAAATCAGGGCAGGAACTCAAAGCAGGAACCATGGAAAACTGCTTACTGGTTCACTCTGGCTCAAGACTTATGCTCTTCTAGTTGCTTATACAACCCAAGGCTTCCTTCCCAGTGCCACCTACAATAGGCTGGGCCCTCCTACAGCAGTTGATAGTCAAGGCCAATCTGATTCAGGTCTTTCCTCAGTCAAGGCTTTTCGCTCAGATGGCTCTAGGCTGCGTAGACACCCAGACTCCCGGGCATTCTTGTTCTCTGGAGCTTGGTGCTATTGTCTGGACTGCCTGGAGCAGGAAGTGCAGTTGCTGGTCAGGGCAGCATCTGTCTCTTCACCCAGGTTCCATCTTCAGTAGCTCTGATTTCTTCAAGCCTGTGACTCACAACTCACACCATTCTCTAAGATCTTGGAGTTCAGCTCATTTTTCATATCACTTGTATTACTTCCATAAAAACATGTTATGTGAGAAGAATGAGAGCCTGTCTCCAAGTCTGGTGGCTCCAAACTTCATAGTGATAGGACCTTGTGACCATAATCTACCCCACCCTGGGTTCTTCTCATGGTGGTTTCAGGCTTTGCTTGAATGACATGCTGGGTATGTTTGTCCTCTGACAGATTATAAACCCCATAAGAATGGTAATGTTTCAGCTAGGTGGCAGTGGTGGTGGTGGTGGTGCACCCCTTTAAGGCAGGTAGATTTCTGTGAGTTCCAGGACAGCCAGGGCTACACAGAAACCCTGTCTCAGAAAACAAACAAACAAACAAACAAACAAGAATGGTGATGTTTAAGCTGAGCGGCGGCGGCGGCGGCGGCGGCGGTGGTGGTGGTGGTGCTGCACGCCTTTAAGGCAGGCAGATCTCTGTGAGTTCGAGGACAGCCAAAGCTACACAGAGAAACCCTATCTCAGAAAAACAAAACAAAACAAAAAAACAAGAGGTAGTAACTTGTCCTTAATGGCTCAACTAAGCCCTGACACCTCCTCCCTCCTCCCTTTCATATGGCATTTGAATCCTTAGGAAGGGGGCAGCTGTGATTCTTCCCTGTCTCAAAGTCCTCGTGTTATCAGGGCAATGGGAGATGGGAGTCCAGAGCTGATCTGGACGTGCGTCTGTCCTCAAGCAGCAATTCCCCATTCACACACAGCTGCTGTTGTAATACTCCACTCCTGATTTCTAGTCTAGCACTGTTCTCCCCTTTGCAAACCAAAATCTGTTGTGGGCAGAAATACCTAGACCCTCTCCGCCCAGATGACCTCAGCCCAGACTGCGCTCCGAATTGACATCGACACGGACACCTGTCAGCCATGCAAATACATGGTCTGCATTTCCTTTACAAACTAGAACACCTGTGGGGACGGAGTAGGGGGGGTGTGGGGTGTGGATCTCTGTGAGTTCGAGACCAGCCTGGTCTACAGAACAAGTTCCAGAACAGTCAGGGCCACACAGAGAAACACTGTACAAAAAGCACTGTCTTATCTAAAGACTATTAATGACTGATCCAGCATTCTGGTCTCATTGGAGGAGACAGGGTGACGTGAAAAGCCTATGGGAAAAAAAGCCATAGGCTTTGGAGTTAACACTGACCTGGATTCATCTCTCTATTAGAACAAGCTTTTAACTTCAGGGAAGTCGCTTAAAATAACTGAACTTAAGAACACCAAGCCCTGCGTTTGCCACACAGTGGAGGGCTGACCTGGAGCTCAGTGACAGCCCGCTCACCTAGCACAAAGCCAGCCTGGGAGAAGAGGAAGAGCCAGGTGTGGTGGTGCACACCTTTAGTCCTGGCAGTCAAGAGGTAGAGGTAGGCAGGTCTCTGAGTTTGAGGCTAGCCTGCTCTACATAGTTCCGGGTCAGCCAGGGTTACAGAGAGAGAGAGAGAGAGAGAGAGAGAGAGAGAGAGAGAGAGAGAGAGAGAGAGAGAGACCTTTGTCTCAAAACAACAACAACAAAGCAAAACTTCATGGAAAATAGTGTACCGCATTTGACACAGAGCAACTATATTTTTATTTGTTTTTGCTTTTTAGACAGGGTTTCTTTGTATAACAGTTTTAGCTGTCCTGGATCTCGTTCTGTAGACCAGGCTGGCCTCAACTCACAGAGATCTGGCTCTGCCTCCCGAGTGCTGGGATTAAAGGTGTACACCACCACCGCCCGGCTAAACAGAGTGATTCTTAAGAACACCTCAGTTTCTTCACTTGTCCTCTCCTGTCACTCAAGAATGACTTCTGAGGAATCGAAGCATGACACAAGGGTTGTTAGGAAGATTTTTAAGAACTGCTTAAGAGATGGCTCAGCAAACGCGTTCAACCCCAGCACTGGGAAGAAGATAGGTGGATTGTTGGGGTTGGGGTGGCCAGCCCGGAGTAACGTCAACCTCTGCTCTTCCGTCCACATTGGCACATAAGTCGTCATTGTGTCCTCCGCCTTATTTCTCGGACGGGGTCTCACTGAATCTGGAGCTGATTGGCTAGACTGGCTGGCCCAAGAGCTGAGGTGGGGTCATTCTCCTGTCTTCACCCTGCAGTGTTAGGAGTTACAGCCGTCAGCTGCCAGACCCTTCTTTTTACTTGGGTCCAGGGGAACCAAACACTTGTCCTCATGCTTATGGGACTGTGACCCGGTTCATTTCTGTCTGAAGAAATGCATAGGTGTTTCCATCTTCCACAATTCAGTTCTTCACTTTTTTCTTTTCTTTTGGAGTGTACATGGAGATGGAACCCAGAGACATACATGCTAAGCAGACATTCTCCCCCCACCCCCACCCCAGTTCTTTTTCTGTTGTTCCTCTTTTTTTTCTTTAGTAAATGTGAGGAGTCTGAGGATTACAATTAAGCTATTTTGATAAGAATCATGTTTGTTTTTATTAGAAATAGTTGCTTTGTTTTGCTTAGGGGATTTATATGCTCACAGATATATTCACTGTGGATTCTGCTTCCTCACCCACAGATGGGACAGAATGAAGAGCTGCTGGGGGGGAGGGTGGCTCTTCCTTTTGGCACTCTTGAACCTCCAGGCCTCTCTGGGGATTGACTCCTGTGGATGAGTGCCCAGAGGCTAGAGGACTTGATGGACTGGACTTGTCTTGGTGAGCTGGGCCATGGGGTAGACAGGGCTTCCTTGAGGCTGGAGTTCACGCTGACTCTTCTTTCTCTTGCAGCACTAAACAAGATTGGTGATGAAATGGAGCCTGGAACGAACTCTTTTCGAGTAGAGTTTCCAGATTTTTCCAGCACCATTCTGCAGAAACTGAACCAGCAGCGCCAACAAGGACAGCTATGTGACGTCTCCATTGTTGTCCAAGGCCACATTTTCCGGGCACACAAAGCTGTGCTTGCTGCCAGTTCACCCTACTTCTGTGACCAAGTCCTCCTGAAAAACAGCAGGAGGATTGTCCTGCCTGATGTGATGAACCCGAGAGTGTTTGAGAACATTCTACTCTCCAGCTACACAGGACGCCTTGTGATGCCTGCTCCAGAGATCGTCAGTTACTTGACAGCAGCCAGCTTCCTCCAGATGTGGCATGTGGTAGACAAGTGCACTGAGGTTCTGGAGGGGAACCCCACCGTCCTGTGTCAGAAGCTAAATCACGGCAATGACCACCAGTCTCCCAGTAGCAGTAACTACAATGGCCTGGTAGAGAGCTTTGAGTTGGGCTCCGGGGGCCATGCTGATTTCCCCAAAGCACAGGAACTAAGGGATGGTGAGAATGAAGAGGAGAGTACCAAAGATGAGCTGTCATCTCAGCTCACTGAGCAAGAGTACTTGCCCAGTAACTCCTCCACAGAGCATGACCGACTGAGCACCGAGATGGCCAGCCAGGATGGGGAGGAAGGGGCCAGTGACAGCGCTGAGTTCCACTACACCCGGCCCCTGTACAGCAAGCCCAGCATAATGGCTCACAAACGCTGGATCCACGTGAAGCCTGAACGCCTGGAACAGGCCTGTGAGGGCATGGATGTGCACGCGGCCTATGACGAACACCAGGTCACTGAGTCCGTCAACACCATGCAGACGGAGCACTTGGTCCAGCCTTCGGGAGTAGAGGAGGACTTCCAGATTGTGGAGAAGAAAGTGGAGGCAGAATTTGATGAGCAAGCAGAGGAGAGCAACTATGACGAACAGGTGGACTTTTATGGCTCCTCCATGGAAGAGTTTTCCGGAGAAAGGTTGGATGGGAATCTAATTGGGCACAGACAGGAGGCTGCCCTCGCAGCAGGCTACAGTGAGAATATTGAAATGGTGACGGGGATAAAAGAAGAGGCGTCCCACTTAGGATTCTCAGCCACTGACAAGCTGTATCCTTGTCAGTGTGGGAAAAGTTTCACACACAAGAGTCAGCGAGATCGACACATGAGCATGCACCTCGGTCTTCGCCCTTATGGCTGTGGTGTCTGTGGTAAGAAATTCAAAATGAAGCACCATCTCGTGGGCCACATGAAAATTCATACAGGCATAAAGCCCTATGAGTGTAATATCTGTGCAAAGAGATTTATGTGGAGGGACAGTTTCCACAGGCATGTGACTTCTTGTACCAAGTCCTATGAAGCTGCAAAGGCTGAGCAGAATACAACTGAGGCTAACTAAAAATAGGGTCTGGCCCTTGAGTGGCATGCACAAAAATAAACTATGGTAATTAATGCAAATCTGGGCACAGATGATGCGTGCCACTTGCTATTATGAGAGAAGCTTAAAAAGAAAAAAAGGAAGATATTTCTGAAAGACCAGCTCTAAGTAGGCCAATTAAAAAATTTAATTCCTCAAATTTATATGTTCTGGTCCTGGCCTAGAATGGATGATGGGGATAAGTTCACCCAGTGCCCAGCTGGCAAGCAGCCTTTCCAGGCAACGTGACTGAGGCGGTGGACTTGGTGGCACACTGACCCACCAGTTCACTCAGGTGGCAGCAGTTTTCCTCACTCAGTGCCCTGAGGTCACGTTGCAGTTTATTTTCTCCTGGTGGCTACAGGGATTCTGGGGCTTTACTTAGGTAGTGCATCACTGGATGCTACTTCCCTCGAGGCTACAGCAGCCTGACTCCTGGGCTAGATGTGAACAGAGCTCTTTCAAGTCTAGTTTCTAAAGTTCTAGCTGAAACTGGCGATGTTAGATAGACCCGAGTCCAGGACAGGTGACATGGTTCATGTCATAGTGCTGCAGACTTGACAAACCACGGTTTGTGTTTAGTTCTGATTGGGTTTGAACCATTGGGTCTCCTTCTAAGTCTCTGGGTGCCAGACATAGGTGTTTCTAGTTGCCCCCCTCATTTAATGGTGGCATCTGGGCTAGATGTCCAGCCTGAAGTTGACTCTTTACATACAGCAGTGTCCTGTCCCCCCAGCCCCCCCAGATCATGGTGCTTCCCAACAAGGGTCAACCAGGGACCACAGCTCATGGGACCTAGCCAGACTGAGTGGCTAAGAGCGGGACACCCCCATACTCAGTGAGTGAGAGTCGACAGAGGCAGCAACTTAGAAAAGTCTCAAAACTACACAGGTGTGGGGTGTGCTGTTTAGAGGGTGCACTGAGCAACACCGTCAGCTCTTTCTGGGACCCGGAGTGTGAGTTCAGAGCGGGAAAGGAGTCCTCCATCAAGTAATATCATCCCCAGATCATGTTCCCTAGTCGAAGAGAAAGGTGCACACATTTACACCCACTAAGGGAAGGAAGGCCGCCCGCCCTTCAAGGCCTGTTCTGCCTGGAGTCGGGTGTTTTAGGGTGGAAAGAAGTCTGGTGTTCAGAAGGCTTTTAAGCGTGTGATAGGCCTGCAGCTCTTGCTGGGTATGTGTCTAGACTGCTTTTCGCTACTGGGAATGTGTTAACATTCTGACCAAAAGCAGCTGGGGGAGAAAGGGTTTATGTCAGCTTACACTACTGTGCCACAGTCATCCCTGAGGGAAGTCACAACAGGAACTTGAATACTGACAGTCAAGACCATCAGCTACAGAGGCGCCACAGGCCACTCTGATTTGGGTCCCGCGGTTGAGACTCCCTTCCCAGATGACGCTAGGCTGTGTCAAATTGTCCCCTAGCTAGACAGTAGGACAGGTGTTGCTCCCGTGTCGTCTTTCCATAAACTTACTGGTCTATTACTGCTAAGTAGAAACTTTTTTTTCCTTAAAATAAAAATTATTTTTCTTGGATTTGGGGTGAAATTTTGTTTTTAAAGTTTGTCTTTCTCTAACGTGACAGACATTTCTGGCAAGGGCTTCTGATCATAAGGCTTCTGACACCAGGGGTTCACCTTTGACCTTTGTTTGGAAAGGGGAAAGAAAATAGGGACTCGCCAGTAAATGCTTATGATCAAGATTGTGAAGCAGGGATCTATTTACGAACACTGTATCAATCTTGGCATATAAAAGCACTTTGTATTTAAGACTTTATTCTAAGTATAGATGTAGATTTTTTTTTTTAAACCTAGAAACTAGATATTACCTCCTAGTGGTTTGGTACATTCAGATGCTCTCCCAGTGTTGGAAGTCTGTCTGTCTGCAGAGTCCTCTCTATGTACCTTGGAAGCACATAGAGGGGATTGTATGGCCACACTCATATGCCTCCTAGTCTTCTCACGGGAGAGGCCAGAGGGTTTAGGGATGACCCTTAGATGTGTGAGGATGAAGTATTTTCAGCTTCTAGTAACTTCTACCCTGAGGCAGTTAAAGCGCTCTGTTGTCAGAAGCTGCTCTGCACCCTGCCCACCCTCGTATTCACAGAATGCCTTCTGCCTGTTGAGCTGTCGTCCATTGAAGTCTCTTCATGTGAGAGCTAGGACCCTTGTGGAGACGAATCTGAGGGGAAAGGAGTACCCTGGCAACATCCGGGTCCTTGGGTTGTGCTGAACCAGTGCCCTTGTCATGCATGGTGACAAAGCTTTTGTGAATAGGTGGGGTGTCCTCGGTCCAGGAGGCAGAGGAGTAACCATGGTCTAGGCATTAGAGCCGAGGCTTCTGACCTGCCTTTCCCAGTAGAGGGCCTTCCCGGCACCCCTTCCCTGCTGTAGTACTGGTCTCCACCACTGCCTTAGGAAAGCCTCACCCTTCCAGACAAGCTTGAATAGTTGTGGACAGCACTGTACATTTTTGTACAAAGTCCAGTGTTCAGGGACTTCATCAGTGGCCCACCAGCAGGGTGTTTGTTCTCTACTTTGAGCCTTGACTGGTTTTTCTCCAGTCCTTATAGGAAAGGGTTCCAGGCCCCGCTGGTTGCATTTCATAGTCTGCATGCACCATGCCTTCAATCTTGGATGCACACTTCAGTGAGCTGCATGGTCTGGCTCCTTGTGTGCCCTTGTTCTGAGCCCTGACCCATGGCCCTTGGATTTCTATAGCTCACCTTCTCTGGCCAGGTCCGTAGAGCCTGCCCTAAAGCGTTCCCTCCATTGCAGGGGGTATTTACTGAACTAGCTGACCCTGGACAGGCTTGTAGCTGTCGGGAAAGCTGCATGCTGCAGAGGATGGCACACCCTGACTGGTGTGGAAGGGAGGGTGAGAAACAGGCACCTGTGCTGCAGCAGGGTCCCCAAGGCCGGGGTGAAGCTTATGAGGTGGTTGCTCGCTGACCTCTGATCCTTTGGGAATGCTGGGCACCAAGGGCTGCCCTCGGCCTCCTGTGATTTAGGTTGCTTTGACTGGTGACTAACTTTATCCAATGAATCCAGGGTTGCTTTGGTTTTTCTTCTGTTGTTGTTTTTTTTCTTCTGCTATTTACATATTTAAAGGTACTAGTTTCTAATTGCCAATCTCTACTGATAGTACCCTGTGGGAACATGCTGGAACACCTCTGCAAATGTGATTTTTTTTTCTTTTTAAATGTTGCTTGGAGCCTGTGTCCTGTCAGTTGCTGCTGCCTTTCTTTTTATGAGGTTCCTAATGTTTCTTCCAGAAAACTTATTTATGCAAGTCAGGTGACTCTTAGGCCACAGAACCATGGGAGGATAAACAGATTGTCATTAGGTGCATATCATGGCTACTTTGTGGACCGCCTGTGTTGCAGAAGTTAAATAGTTCTTTCTGAAATGGCTGTCTTCGGTGTACAGCGTGGTTTTAACTGAATGTTACTGTTTAATATTTTCTTCTTATAGAAGAGACCATGCCCTTTTGTATGACACGTTTTAATAAATGTTACCTGTCCATTTTGTACAAAGTTGTGTTCCGTTTTTCACTCGTGTTTTGGTTCTGGCTTTTGTAGCCTGGGATTAAGGCTGTGCCACATAGGCTGGTCACAAGAGCAGTGAGCGGCCCGTCTCAGTAACAAACCCACCTGCAAGGAGGGTCAGGTATTCTGAGTGCTCCCTGGTTCCCTCCTCCCCCTGGGAAGAGGCTGACTGGCCTCTGGGTTCTGCCTTGGCTTCTGGTCAGGAGCCATTGGAGATGCTGGGCTGGGAGGGCTGCTGGGGAGGTTGAGGGACTCACACCTGGCTGCCTCCTCTAGGTGCAGGCTGGCAATGGCCAAGCTCCTCTTGCTCCAGACCACTGAAGCTTGGCGCCACACCCTCTCCTTGTCCCCAAACTCAGAAGTGGTCCTATCCCCCTGCCTTTTTCCGGCCTTCAGGAGCTTCACCACCCTGTGTTTCTCACCAGGACCCTTGCTGAATCCTCGGATGCCCTCATTTCACAGGACAGCTGTTGAACAGCACAGTTGAGTGATGCCAAGATTCCAGAGCAGGCCAGTGTGGCCGCCACACGCACTGCCAGGCTTCTCTGCTCTGTGCCGTCCCCACGTGCCTCAGTCAGGTCCTCGCTTCACCTTGCTTTGCCCTCCTGCATCCCTTCTCCCCAAAAAGCCCAGCCCTGGAGAGGCCGCAGCCTTCTTCAGAGGCCCCACGTGCTTCCTAACCACAGCTCATTACCACAGACACTGCTTGTTTTAGACCAAACTCAACCATCTTCCCACACAAACCTTCTGTTACCACTGTTTGTTGTGAGATGCCCCCACACCCCCGGTTACTGATTTTGAAGCCAGCTCCAGATTGCCTAGACTCGCTTAGCGTTCTCTAGGTGGGGAGAACCCTCCAGAAGACCTTGCCTAGCCTCTTTTTTGAGGTGAGCCCTGTCCATTCTGATCATGAGTGACCAGCACTGTGTCTGTAGCATGGTGAGCCCCTCAGATCCCCCTGCCACCCCTTCCTTGAGATCCTGGTAGACAGTGCAGCAGGAGCCACGTAAGAAGCAGTCACATAGCACATAACCTCCCCAGGGTGGAGGCCACGGGGCTAGAGACAGCAGCACGTGAGCACAAGGAGATGGGGGGAGGGGGACAAATGGGAACAGAAGGAGGTGGGATGTGACGGGTGCTACCCAGATGGAGCTTACAGCACCTGTGCGGGTTTATTTAGCTTCCTTCCTAGTCGGCTTAGGGACTGCTTCCCACCAAGCCACGAAGAAGCATTCCTCGAGACAGTCCTGGTGGCTGGAAGGTCCGCACAGCCCCGTGGACCCAGGGGCCAGTCAGCAGCCAGAAATGGGGTAAGTCAAACCTGCTGTACCCAGAGTGATCATGTGGTAAATGGCTTTAAATACGTTCTTTCTCAGTGTAGCTAAAGGAAGGAAAAAGCCGCTCACGTGTTCTTTTTTTTTTTTTTTTTGGTTTTTTGAGACAGGGTTTCTCTGTGTAGCTTTGCTCCTTTCCTGGAACTCTGTAGCCCAGGCTGGCCTCGAACTCACAGAGATCCACCTGGCTCTGCCTTCCAAGTGCTGGGATTAAAGGCATGCGCCACCACCGCCCGGCACATGTTCTTTTTTTTTTTTTTTTTTTTTTTTTTTTTTTTTGGTTTTTTGAGACAGGGTTTCTCTGTGTAGCTTTACGCCTTTTCCTGGATCTCGCTCTGTAGACCAGGCTGGCCTCGAACTCACAAAGATCCACCTGCCTCTGCCTCCCGAGTGCTGGGATTAAAGGCGTGCACCACCACCGCCCAGCTGGGCACATGTTCTTAACTGCTGGGCATGTTCTCAATGGTGGAGCGCTTGCTTAGCATGACAGGTCTGGGTTCCATGCTCAGCACTGCAGAACTAAACAAAAGCCTGTTTGAAGTTGAGTGAATGAAAGTGGGCATGTTGACCCTTTCCTGAGAAACCACAGAGGTCAGTACAGGGTAGGAGAAGTCTCTGGGCTTTCTTTGAACTAGTAGGTCTAGTTTGAGTCAAAAGGGAATAATTTGATTGGTGTAGTTTGAGTTAAAGTAGAAGAATTTGAGTTTCAACTCTTGAACCACCTTTAATTTCTTCCAAGCAGATGATGGGCCAGCTGAGCCTTGCACATAGCAGCAGAGGTAAGGTTGTCCTGTACGTTCACAAGCAATACCGTAGGTAAATGTACAGTTTTAAAATAGTCACTTTTCACTTAGGCTCAAGTGATTATGAGTTCTATTTTTTTCTTCCTTAATACTCCAAAATAAGAAGCCAGTACCAAAGCTATTAAATGTATTTATAACCTAATAAGATAGTAGTTAGTCCCCAGAGGATCCTGGCCTGCCAAATATTGCAGCTAACCTTGATGTATGGAAGCTAAAAGCTCCCTCCAGAACTGCCCATCCTGTTAATTTGGGGTCAGCAATGCTGTGATAAAATTTCACTTATTAGGGTTCACAAAAAAGACCCTCAACCGCTGGTACTCCAGCCATGATGGATGGATGCTGGGTCTTTAAACAGGCTGGTGGTCCCTCAGGATTGAGGCTGGCTTTGAATTCTCAAAGCCACTTGCTCCCAAGTGCTGACTTTACAGATATGTGCCACCATGCCTGGCTCTTGGGGGTTTTTGTTTTGTTTTTTTATGGCTACTGAACACTATCGCTACTTTGGCCCAAGAGCATTGAGGTTGCTGAATACAGTCAGCTCCAAGCCCTTACTATAGCATTTGGATTATGAGGTAGAAATGCCTTCCAGGCCAGCACAGGGAGCAGCAGAGGATAACTGAGACGCTGTTGGGGAGGGGCTGTCTCCCTCACGGAAGCAGCTTTCCATTAAGCCTTTTTCTTGCACGTAGGGACGATTCAGTGGTAGATCACTTGCCTAGCCAGCACCAAAATGAAGCATAAAAAAGGTCAGATTTGTAAAGGTGATTCATGCTTAGCAGAGTACAGAAGCCAGGCCCAGCACGGCAGTGTGGCCTACGCTGAATTATCCCCTGGTGCTGAGGTAGTGAGTGGCAATGGGTCCTCCTTAAATTGCTGAACTCTGCCATCCAAGAAGTAAGACTTCAGACATCAGCAGCTCATTCCTTTCAGCTTCCTTTCCAGGACTCAGTCACCACTAGCTCACTCCTTTTGCCAGGACCAACAATGACCCACTCTGTCCTAAAGACCCTGCATGGACTGGGTCTCCACCCTTGTGCCAGCCTCGCAAGGCAGGACACTAACTTGGAGAAAATAAGAAAACAGCTTAGTACCCTGGCCCTGGGCTGGGAAGGCATCCAAGTCAGTGAAGTGCTTTCTTCGCAAACATGAGGCGGGTTTGACCCAGAACCTAAGGGAAAAGGCTGGGCGTGGTGGCGAGTCTGTAATCAAGCACTGAAATGCAGAGGCAGGAACTCGGGGCTTGCTGACCAGCCAGCCTAGAAGTCTATGCAAAGTCCAGTGACAGGGCCTGCCTCAAGGAGATGGTAGAGCCAGAGGGACATGGCTCAGTTGATAAAGGCACTTGCCACCAAATCTCAGGACTTGAGTTCAAGCCTCATGGTGGAAGGAGAGACCTAACCAATTCCTACAAGTTGTCAATTGTCCTCTGACCTGTATGCAGTGACACCACACACACACACACACACACACACACACACACACAAATGTAAAGAAAGAAAACAAGGGGCTGGAGAGATCTCTCAGTGGTTAAGAGCACTGGCTGCTCTTCCAAGGGACCCAGGTTCAATTCCCAGCACCCACATGGCAGCTCATAACTGTCTGTAACTCCAGCTCCTGGGATCTGATGTCCTCATACAGACATACAGGCAGGCAAAACACCAATGCAAATGAAATAAAAATAAATATTAAAAAAAAAAAAGGGCAGGCATGGTGGCGCATGCCTTTAGGCAGATCTCTGAGTTCGAGGCCAGCCTGGTCTACAAAGCAAGTTCCAGGACAGCCAGGGCTGTTACACAAAGAAACCTTGTCTTGAAAAACTTAAAAAAAAAAAAAAGAAAGAAAGAAAAGAAGGTGTACAGCTCCTGAAGAACAACATTGACCGCTGGCTTCTGCAGGTGCACGAATGTATGCACACACAAGCCCAATTGCAACCCAAGGCAGGCAGCCGGTGGCATGTGTCCATCCCACTGGCCTGTATGAGACACCTACCATCCAGTGACTTCCTGCCAAGGGCTCAGAGTGTCCATAGTAAACCCACTGCCTGCTGGTGTAAAGAGGGGTTCAAAGGTGGCGGTAGTTCTTGACTCTTTTGAGGGACCCGCCACCCAGCTCCCAAATAAACCACACATGGAGGAAGCTTATTCTTAATTACAAATGCTCATACTTAGCTTGGCTTGTTTCTAGCCAGCTTTCCTTAACTTTAAATTAACCCAGGTGTCTTTTGCCTCTGGGTTTTTCCTGTTCTCTTACTTCTGTAAATCTTGCTCTTCTTCTGTGGCTTGCTGGGTGGCTGGGTGGCTGGGTGGCTGGGTGGCTGGGTGGCTGGCCCCTGAAGTCCTCCTCCTTCTCTGGCTACTTCTCTCTCTCTTTCCTCCCAGATTTCTCCTTCTATTTATCCTCTCTGCCTGCCAGCCCCACCTACCCTTTCTCCTGCCTCGCTATTGGCCATTCAGTTCTTGGGGTTTTTTTTTTTTGTTTTGTTTTGTTTTCAGAGCTGAGGACCGAACCCAGGGCCTTGCACTTGCTAGGCAAGCGCTCTACCACTGAGCTAAATCCCCAACCCTCTCCATTCAGCTCTTTATTAGACCATCAGGTGTTTTACACAGGCACAGTAACACAGCTTCACAGAGTTAAACAAATGCAGCATAAACAAAAGTAACACAGCTTAAAATAATATTCTACAACACAAAGGTCACAGGCTTATCTAGCAGTGTGGACCACTGCAGAGTGTCTTCCTAGCTGTGCTGATCCTGTCCCTTCCCCAGCTGACACCCTAGCTCCTGCTGACTCCAGTCAGGCCACTTGACTGACCTTTGTTGGTCCCTTCGGCTTTTCTTGTCCTTGTGAGGGT